CTGTGTAGCTTTGCGCCTTTCCTGGAACTCACTTGGTAGCCCAAGCTGGCCTCGAACTCACAGAGATCCGCCTGGCTCTGCCTCCCAAGTGCTGGGACTAAAGGCGTGCGCCACCACCGCCCGGCACATACTGGATTTTTTAATGTATGTAGACACATAATAGTGCTTTTTTTTGTAATGAATATCTTTCTCTAACTTCAAAATGTTTTATATAGGCTGATAAAAAAAATACTTGCATAAATGGATCTCCTGGGGAAGAGAAAATAGAAGAGATCTCATGTCCTTAACTCACCAACTTGCCTGGCCAGTCACTGAAAAGAGATCAGGCAGAGTTTGTCGGTATCTTGGGATACAACTCATTAGCAGTTTGACCTGTGACATCCAAGCAAATCCTGCCTTTGTATCAGTGTTTCACCGAACAGACTCCTGTTCCGTAGGCAGAATTTAAAAAAAAAAAAAAAAATGTAATGTGGAAATGTGAAGTTTATAAGCAAAAAGCAAATCCAAGTGAACAACCTTCTATGCCAGTGAAATATAGCCAAGACTAGCAGAGCAAGGAGAGGATACAGCCTGTCTCCTGTGACCTCAGGGAAGAGTAGATTGAGTGGGTGAGAGGGGGGTGGAGATGGGAACATGATGGATCGGGTTGGGGGATGGATGGATGGATGGGGAGAGTACTGAAAGAGATGAATGGAAAGGAGGGGCTGCATCCTGGGGTCAGGTAGAAACCTGGTGCAAGGGAAACTCCCAGGAATCTACAAGGATAATCCCAATAAGACTTAGCAATGGTAGATGAGTAGTTTCCTGTGACTGGGCGGGTCTTCCAGTAGAGGGATTGGGACACCAGCCCAGCCACACAGCCTTGGTGCAAGGGTGGCTCAGAGATGATGGGAGTAGCCAACCAATGACTGGTGTAGCCTCAGACCTATACCACGAGAGTGAGCCCACCCCTGACACTGCCTGGAGTGCCAGGGCCCAGAGGCTGGATGGCCCAGAGACTTAGGATAGAACCAAACACAACTGGAGAAAAAAATGTTAATGCCATACCCATAGATTGGTGACGACCCCAGTTGTCATCAGAGAGCCTTCATCTGGTAACGGTTAGAAACAGATGCAGAGACCCACAGCCATGCATTGGGCCTAGCTCAGGGAATCCTGCTGAAGAAAGGAAGGGTTGTACAAGCCAGGAGTGCAAGAACATCCAAGGGAACCCACAGAAACAACTAACGGGAGCTCACAGGAGCTCACAGTCTGAACTGACAGCCAGGGAGACTATGGGACCAGCCCAGGCCCTCCACATAGGAGTGACAGTTATTAGCTTGGTCTACCTGTGGGACTTCTAGCAGTGGGAACAGGGGCCGTCTCTAATGCTTTAGCTGGCTCTTCCTCATACTGAGTTGCCTTGGCCAACCTTAATACAAGGGGAGGAACTTAGTCCTGCCTTAAATTGATAATGCCATGCTTCATTGATACCCATGGGAGGCCAGCCCCTTTCTGAACAGGAACAGGAGGAATGGATTGGGTGAGGGCAGTGGTGGAAGGGGAAACTTCAGTCAGGATGTAAAATAAATGAATAAATTAAAATAAATAAAATAAAAAAGGAAAGTTCAAAGATTTTAAAAAAAGAAAGAAAGAAAGACCTGCATAAACCAAGCATGGTGGCCACACCTTTAATCTCAGGCAGAGGCAAGAGGATCTCTGTGAGTCCTAGAACAGCAAGGACTGTCTCAAAGGGAGGGTGGGGCACAAAAAACAAAACCTGTATATTCTGGAGACCCAGGACCTCCATGATGACACGCAAATTAGTGAAAACCATCCTTACCTAGTCTACAGACTGAAATGCTAATCTCTTGTCAGTGTGGGAATGAAGAAATAACAGATGCAAGAAACAGCAGAAACAAAATTTTTTAGTACTGAATCTTAAGAATTATGACGAATTTTCCCATAATTCTTTTCCTCTGTCTTTGAAGAGATCTAGAAGAAATCAACCTAGCAGCAACAAGTACACTTAGTACCTAGCTTGTGTGTGATTTCAAGGCCAGTGCTCTTGAGAAATGTCTAATTACTGATTCTAAGAAGAGTCCAGAGTGCTTTTCTTAAAACAAGAATGAAACCTCTCAATTTTTTATTTTATAAAATATGTACCTCAAAGAGCT